CCAGCCAATTATTATATTTATACAGTATTTATAAAGCGCCAATAGTTCGCTCAGCGCTGTACATTACAAAGGGAGACAGAACATGTGACAGAACAATACCAATACAATGCAAAACATGAGGGGATCAAGGGCCCTGCTCTTTCGAGCTTACAATCTAGGAGGGAGGGGGGTGGCACAGGAGGAGATAGCTGTGGGGGATGGAGTGGTAGGAAGAGTGTGAGGAGGTCGGCAAGTTAGCAGGGGGTGGGGTAGGCTTCCCTGAAGAGATGGGTTTTTCAGGGTGCGCCTAAAGGAGAGGAGAGTAGGAGATAATCTGATGGGTTGGGGCAGAGAGTTCCAGAGGATGGATGACAACCTGGAGAAGTCCTCCTGGAGGCGGGCATGGGAGGAGAAGACCAGGGAACTAGAGAGAAGGAGGTCTTGTGAGGAGCGGAGTGTGCGTGCTGGGCGGTACTTGGATATTAGGTCGGTGATGTAGTTCGGGGGCACTATGGTGGACAGCTTTGTACGTCAGCGTTAGGATTTTGAATTTGATCCGTTGCGCAATCGGAAGCCAGTGGAGGGATTGGCAGAGGGGGGTGGCGGAGACAGAGCGGTTGGAAAGGTGAATGAGTCTGGCAGCCGTGTTCAGGATGGACTGAAGAGGGGATAGCCAGCGGCGAGGCAGGCCAGTGAGGAGGGAGTTGCAGTAGTCGAGTCGTGGTATGATGAGGGAGTGGATGAGCTGTTTAGTGTTGTTTTTCTGGGGTTAGGAACGTGCGGATTTTGGCGATGTTGCGGAGGTGGAGTCTGCACGAGTTTGTTAAAGATTGGGACTTGGGGCTGGAAGGATAGGTTGGAGTCCAGAATGACACCCAGTACTCTGGCCTGCAGGGCGGGTTTGATGGTAGCGTTGTTTGGATGTGACGGAGAAAATCAATGGGGGGTGGTGTCCGGGCTGGGGGGAAGACAAGAAACTCGGTTTTGGAGAGGTTCAATTTAAGGAAGTGGAGCGACATCCAGTCTGATATGTCGCTCAGTAGGTGTGTGATTCGGGCTGAGACCAAGGGGGTGAGGTGGGGGGTTGAGAGATAGATTTGTGTGTCGTCGGCATAGAGGTGGTAGTTGAAAGCTGTGAGAGTGTATGAGTTGGCCAAGGGAGGAGGTATAGATGGAGAAGAGAAGGGGCCCGAGGACAGAGCCTTGAGGGACCCCAACAGAGAGGGGGAGTGAGGGGGAGGTGGTAGCATTATAGGTAACGCTGAAGGAGCGTTGTGACAGGTAGGATGAGAGCCAGGAGAGAGCAGAATCTCTGAGGCCGAGGGAGTGTAGTTTTTTGAGGAGGAGGGGGTGGTCGACTGTGTCGAAGGCCGCAGAGAGGTCAAGGAGTAGGAGCACTGAATAGTGGCCATTAGCTTTGGCGGTTAGCAGGTCGTTGGAGAGTTTGAGAGTAAGGCAGTTTCGGTGGAGTGTAGGGGACGGAAGCCGGACTGTAGGGGATCGAGGAGGTTGTTGTCGTTGAGGTGAGAGCATAGGCGGGTGTAGACGAGGCGCTCGAGGAGTTTAGATGTAAATGGGGAGCAGGGAGATGGGTCTGAGGTTGTTCGGGTCATTGGGGTCCAGGGAGGGCTTTTTAAGTATGGGGGTGATGTGTGCATGTTTCAGAGGGGAGGGAAAGTGCCTGAGGAGAGGGAGAGATTGAAGATGTGGGTGAGGGAGCGTAGGATGGAGGAGGAGGAAGGTCGTAGGAGTTGTGAGGGGATAGGGTCGAGGGGGCAGGTGGTGAGAGTGAGGCGGGCATCAGAGAGCATCTTGGAGACTTCCTCGATGGTAGTAAGGTCAAAGGTGTGGAGTGTTGGGGAGCTTCAGTATGAGGAATGTAGGGTGGGTGTGGAAGAGGGAGGTCAGAGCAGTGGTGGGGCTGTGGGAGAGGGGTGATGAGGGGGTAGCTGAGTGAGGGTGAAGGGGTTGGAGAGAGTTTGAGCAGCGACGAAGTCCCTGCGGGTTATGTCGAGGGGGAGGGGGGGATAAGGGGGTAGCTGCGTGAGAGGGGACGGGTTGAGAGGGTGTGTGAGTTGCGGCAATGTCCTTGCGAATTGTGTCAATTTTGTTTTTGAAGTGATTGGCAATCTCAAGGGCAGTGAGTGAGGTGCTGGGTGGAGGTGGGGGTGGAGGAGAGAGTAGAGAGTTGAAGGCAGAGAAGAGTCGGCGAGGATTGGAGGAGAGGGCCTTGATGAGGGTCAAGAAGTAGGCCTGTTTGGCAGCATGGAGGGGGAGGTGTAGGTGTGGAAGGCAGATTTGTAGCGGATGAAGGCTTGTTGGGATTTGGTTTTGTGCCATAGTCGCTCCAGGGCACGACTTTGTCGTTTGAGGGTTTTGGTGTGATCAGTCTGCCAGGGCTGGAGCGGTCGGGGTCTGATGTTGCATGTGGTTAAAGGCGCTAGTGAGAGTCGAGGGCTGTTGAGAGCGCATTGTTGTAGGCGGTCAAAGCCAAGTCGGGGCAGGACAGGGGAGGATGCGGTCGTGGAGTTGATCAGCTGCAGAGTGGAGAGAGGCAGGGTTAAGGTTTGCGGAGGTTTACGGCTGGTAGTAGTGTGACATTTGGAGGGGTAGGCGTTGGAGGACGAGGAGATAGAGAAGGTGATCAGGTTGTGTGGTTCAGAGAGAGGGAAGGGGGTGTTAGTGAGGTTGTGGGGAGCGCAGCGGTTGGAGAAGACAAGGTCCAGGATATTTCCGTCGGAGTGGGTGGTGGATTGTATGCACTGTGCAAGTGCAAATGAGGAGGTTAGGTGGAGGAGACGGGCTGTGTCCGGGTTGTCGAGGTTGACAGGGATGTTGAAATCCCCAAGAATTATGGTGGGTAGCTCAGAGGAGAGGAAGAAGGGTAGCCAGGAGGAGAAGTCATCCAGGAAGCGGGGTATGGATCCAGGAGGCCGTATATCACAGCAATGAAAGCAGGCACAGCTCAGTACCCAGAAGAAGCTGGACAGAAGGTATCGGCCATGGCAGATCATTGAAGTAGAGGTAGGTATCACAGACTTTAGCTTCGCTTAAACTGAAAATAACTAAAAAAATAAAAAATAGTCACAATTTTAAATCAGTATCCTTATCCTGGTGTGTTAGCTTTGTGAATTCTTGCTGCTGTTAGCAACCAATAAGAATCCAGGACTCTAAACATGGTAGGTGCAAGATTATTGGCTGGTTGGCAAAATTACATTTTTCTATTAGCACACTTTTGATCCATCAGCCCCATATCAACCAGTTTTTGTTACTTCTACAGTCAAGGTTTGGAAATCAGTAGAAATTTTTATCATGGTTTCCATACCGCAGACCCTATGTTACCACTGATGCGCACCACTCCATGGGACTCACACATTCAGCACTGGCTTTCATGGGAGTGATCTAGTGGTTAGTTTACTGCACAACTCCTTGACAGCTTCACTGGTTATTTTATATGGGAGTTTTTAACTCCTAAAGTCCATCACATTTTACCTATATTTATATAAGTGATATAGACCAATCTGTAAAGCCAGGCCGAATATCAGCTGAAATAAGCCAGTACTGGGTGACATTCAGCCCATGTGTATGGGTCTTTGTTTGACCAAAGCCAATCTCACGGCTGGCTTCTGTCGAACACGTTTGATGGAAAACCAGCAGCCGAGTGGCATTCAATCAGTACTTGCAGCCACTGATGTGTTCTGGGGGGGGGGGGGCAGTTCCCCTCTCAGAACACAATAGCTCAGTGGGGAGATCGCTGTATTAAAATCGCATCGTTGGTACAAAAACCTCCTTATGAGCCCCCCCGTGGGCTAAACGAAAAAAAACTTACTGTGTGTACCAGGCTTAACCCAGTCATCAGACATATCCCATTATAGAGCAGTTTACGAAAACAGTTCTGATAAGCATGTAAGTGCCTTTTTCCTAAAGTGATTTTATTTATAGTTGTTTTCTACATATTTCATTCATTATTTACTGTAGTTAGGACAAAAAAAAATACTTTTTCTTTTGGTCTAGTAAATATAAAATATTGTCTTTTCATAGGCCAGTAAATGAGCTATAAATTCCTTGGCACAACATTAGCATGAGCTGTGCTGAAAGAAGTCTGTTGTCATCATAGCAATGACTTATCCATTATCAGTAGCTCAGTAGGAGCTTTCTGTTTGACAAAAGGAGCTGGAAAGCAACCCATGCTGTGCTGTCTATTTAAATAACCCATAGTGCTCTGGGAACTCTTTATCAGGTATTAAAGCGGAGTTCCACCCAAAAGGGGAAGTTCCGCTTTAAAGATTGGTCCCCCGCTCCCCATTAAGGATTGGCACCTTTGGGGAGCAGGGGGGAGAACGGGTACCCAAATTTGACAGGTACCCACTTCCGCTGCAATCGCCTAGGTGACCAGAAGCAGAAGTTGTCCTCCTACCCTCCCTCCTCGAAGTCTTGTGGGACATGTGACAGGTTCCAGAAGACAATGGGGCCATTCAGGAAGCGCAGCGCTACTTGCGCATGCGCAGTGGGCACCCGGCTGTGAAGTCGCAAACTGTCCCAGCCAGGTGCCCACACTGAAGATGCCGGCACCTGAATACAGGATGACCGGTGAAAACGGGCTGCGGCGAGGGCAATGCGAGATTGTGGGACAGGTGAGAGGCTGTTTTTTTAAAAGTCAGCAGCTACAATTTTTGTAGCTGCTGACTTTTATTTTTTTACAGAGTGAGAGTGTAACGCCGCTTTAAATGTTAATATGTAATACTTATAGAAATATACATATATAAAGAAAAAATATATAAAACAACAGTATGTAACAGGGTAAAGGCTGTTCATTTCTCCATTTTAAAGTCAACATTTACTATGCTTTGTTCAATTTGCAAAGTGAATGTTAATAGAAACTGCATTAACTTTGAATACTCATGCATGTGCTTACAAATATTCCAGTTTTTTATTTTACTTGCACATAACTGGGTATTCAAAGTGAACACAGCCTCACCTTAAATGCATAATCACATTTTGTAAAAATATAATAAATACACCAGCAATGATAAAATAAAATATGGACATTTATTACAGTTTTGCATTGCCTGTGCATTGCAACTGCAATCAATACATCGCAGGCTGAATGCACAGGCTCTTGCAGTGTCTACCTCTAGCCTCAGGTCTGTATGAAAGGTATAGACCTTCTGCTGTGGAGCTGGAGGGAGTGCAGAATGAATTACCATTCATGGGATGTTATCGCCCTGCTACTGGTATGCAATTTTCGCTTACATGTAGTTCTTAGTAAAAAATAAGCAATGTTTACAATCACATGGACATGTACTAACTTAGAATTTGGAGAAAAATATAGCAACTATCACTGGTGACTTGCTTTTAGAGGGAATCCTTATTCTGAACTAAGTGAACTCCTGATTGGGAAGAAGCATGCAGCCAGTGATGTCTAAGAAGTCTATAGAAGCACCTTCAGTGGTGCATTTAGTTTTTGTGCTACCGTAGGCAACACAAAATTCAGCTCCCCTACCCCATGGAGAGACCCTGATACTGACCAACACCCCCCTCCCCCATGAAGAGAGCCTGACATTGACCAGCAACACCCTAGCCCCCCCACCCACCGCGAGATAGCCTTCCACTACCACTGCCCCCCCCCCCCATACACTGGCAACCACTGCCCCATGGCTCAGGACATCCCCAGGAACAAGAGTCAGGCTCTGCATACCCTATAAAGCAGCCCGCAGCCTCTTTCAGATCCCACCTGGTCCATATGCTGCATGTGTCCCTTCCATCCCTTCTTTTGGGGGGCGGCGCTGTACCCTTGAAAAATGCTGCTGCCCCGTGAAAGCTGCCGCTGCCCCCCTGACAAATGCTGCCCTAGGCAAGTGCCTTGTTTGGCTTGTGGTAAATACACCCCTGGCCACCTTGAATGCTTGCTCCAAATCTCTGACTCACTTGGCAGTGAAGCAAGAATAACAGTGACAGCCCTGGTGTTATATCACTTCTTCAACATTATTTGTTAGCTTATGACCAACTTTATTTTATTATTATATTAGAAATGTCCCTGTATAAGAGAAATAGCACTCAAAACTACATCAGTTTGGAATTGTGTGTATGGTTACATGCCTAAAGTGGACCTTGCAATCAAAAGTGAAGGTACCTCTAGTGGAAGCCCCATCTTTCATGTAAAAACTGCTAAAAAAATACAAGAAGACGGGAGATAAAATAACTTACTCACCCCTGGCCTCCTGATGTCCTTGCTGAGATGCCAGTGCCATCACTCAGCTTTCCAGGGCAATCTTGGGAAAACTGAGGACATCAAATACCAGCATGCCGATGTTATACCACATTCCACATCAAAGGCAGCTGAATGCCAAATGATTGGAGACTACCTACATAAACTCAATGTGGCAGTGTATGTATGTCTAAATGCCCAAAGAGACTGCAATAACCTTTCCTACTTGTACAGTCAAAGGCATTTGATTTACTAAAAGAAGCAGTATAAAGGTTGCCACTTCTGAGTGTTCTACTTCAAACAAATTCTAGTTATGTGGCCAAACTGTGATTCAGTAGCTTCAACACTTTCTGAGTCACCAATCTGGAACAAGCATGTGAGAGCCTGATTTACTAAAGGAATTTAGAATCTGTGCACAATACATTGGGGTTGATTTACTAAAACTGAAGCGTGCAAAATCTGGTGCAGCTGTGCATGGTAGCCAATCAGCTTCTAACTTCAGCTTGTTCAATTAAGCTTTGACAAAAAAACTGGGAGCTGATTGGTTTCTATGCAGAGCTGCACCAGATTTTTGCATTCTCCAGTTTTAGTAAATCAACCTTATTGTGTGATTGTTCACTTCAATCATCTGAAAAGAAAATTCATGTTCACTAGTGATGATGTCACAAGGGGGCAAGGGTAACCCCATCCCCTTGTGACATCATCACAGTATTTAAAAACTGTCATCGCAGCACAGCTGTCGGACAGCAGGAGTCAGTGCCAAGAGCGGAAAGTTGTCTTTTTTTCCTTTTTATGGGTTGGCGGTGGCGACGGGCATCGTGATTGACTTTGGATCTACTTTGGGGGACATTATTTCATTTTTGTTTTTATTAAAGGACTTGTCAAAGACTGTCTCCTGTCATTTTTACACTACACTTTTTTTTTTTGTGAATGGGAAGCGGTAAAATATACCACATACTCATTCACATTGGGGGGGGGGAAGGATCTGGGGGCCTCCTTGTCAAAGGTGGCTTCCAGATTCCGATAAACCCCCCGCATGCATACCCCCAGAACCACCGGCCAGGGTTATGAGGAAGGGGTCCTTGTCCCCATCAACATAGGGACAAGGTGCTTTTTTTTTTTAAGAGAGTGTGTGTGGGAAGGGGGAGGAGCTTTATTTGTAGTATATTTATTATATTATTATTATTATTATATAGTGTTTTGTTGTTTGTGTTTTCCTCTCTTTTTATGTATTTGATAATTATTTGTATATTTGATCACAACATGTACCGTACATGTACATTTTATTATGATTTATTTTTTTACAGGTACTTATATAGCGCTGTCAATTTACACAGCACTAAATTTTATTATTTACTTTTATTATTCATAGTCTGTTGTTGGCTTTATTTAAAAAAAAAAAAAAGAAAATAATGAGGCTAATGAGGGGTAATTTTTTGGCACACTAACAGGTCCGGGATAGTTCAACTGAGTATAACTTTTGGGTGACATTTACCCACTTCCTGACCGGCCGTTGCATATAAAGTGCAGGGTCGGGTGGCCGTTTATAAACAGCCTCCCCACACCCTGCTTGTGCACGCTCCCTGGGAGCGCGCGCAGCACCGCGATCCGGTGCCCGCTGTGTCCTTTGGACACAGTGAAACACTGATCATTGGCCAATCAGTGATCACATGCAAAGTAGTAAGCAAGATGTCACTTGTGACATCATTGCTTACTATGTGTGAAATCTGTGAATGATCACAGAGGTCACATGGTACAAGGCTATTTACAACAGCCTTGTACCATGTGACAAGCTGTGACCAATCACAGCTCACTCAGTACTTCTCAATGACTGCAAGAATGCAGACAGAGAGAAAGAGAAATGATTGCTTTTACATCCTATATGGGTATAAAAGCAATCAGTGTAAAAAAAAAAAAAAATCTTCATCACCCCCCACAAGTAGTACAGTGTCACCATGGTGACACTGTCACCATGGTGACACTGTACTACTTGTGGGGGGTGTACTACTTGTGAAGGGTGATGCTAGGGTGACAGTATGTAAAAAATAAATAATAAAATAAAAAATAATAATATAAAAAAATAAAATAAAGTAAAAAGATAACGGAATACATTTTGGCAAAGATTTATGATGAAATATTAGTTATTTGCAAAATTTTATAAAAAAACACTTTTTTAAAATTTTTTCATTTACATAGCAAAAAAAATAAAAATCTCAGCAGTGAATAAATACCACCAAAATAAAGCTTTATCTGTGTCAAGAAAATGGTAAAAAATTCATTTGGGTACAGTGTTGCATGACGACGCAATTGTCATTCAAAGTGTGATAGCGCTGAAAGCTGAAAATTGCCCTGGTCAGGAAGGGGGTAAAAAAGTGTCCGGTTTGGAAGTGGTTAAATCCCATTAAACTCTTAATTTACTAAAGGCAAATGGGCTGTTCACTTTGCTAGGGATTTTTCACCTGATCTAAGTAAATGCAGTAAACATTTCACTTTGCAAGGAATACCCAATCACGTGCAGGAAAAATAAAAAAATCCAGTACTTTTTGGATAAGATTGGATGTTGGAAGTCAGCAGAACTTCACCTCATTCACTAAGCTCTAGGAAAACTTCCCTTGTAAAGTGAGCAGTCTATTTGCCTCCAGTAAATCAACCTTGCTTTATAATGTGCCTTGTTACTTTTTTGTATGTGGATGGTTCAACATGAAATATATTTTTGTTCTACAACCTGATTGTTGTTTTATTTTTTCAGCAGAAGAAACTAAAATCAGCCTCCAGACCCGCAAATCACCACAGTCCTACCACACATCCCAGCGCCATGGAACAGTTGCCCACATGCAAAGTGCGTAGAGAGCATTAAAGTATTCTGCACACTGACATACAATGTCAAACATTCCTAGGTCTATCATACATCTGGAGCTCTGCCAAAGATACGCCAATCACATAGATCTCTATGTGAACACCTGACCACTTCAATGGTACATCCAGCTGCCTCTCCTTGACTTGGATGTGGGGGGGAAGCTCAGCATGAAAGATACACACCTGGCGGACATACTGTGAAAGAACCATCTCCAGATTCAGTGATCCACATCTCTGCACCTTCTAATGGAATTTAAAACATGCCACTTTGCAAATGAACTAAAAAAAGAATAACTTTTAGCTACCCAATGATCAGAGATTATGTGCCTTTCTGAAACGTGTGGATTGTAGCTTTTTAAAATGAAGAGGCTCACACAATGAAAAAAGAAAATCCAGCCGCAAAACCCAAACTAAATGTGAAAAGGAAATGAAGGGACATTGGATTTGTACCTCATGCTGCTTAGAACTTTGCAGAACTTCAGCAGCTAACGTGAGGGACTTAGGGGTTTTAAACCCAAACGAGACAAAGGATTAAGGTCGCTCAAAGTGATCAAGCCAGATGAGATCTGGAGGACTTGTTCAACCAATCTAAGATTCAGGCTCCTAACCTTTATTACAGGCCTTGGTCGATGTCTATCATTTTTGATAGTTGATACACGTAACTCAACAGGAAACGTGATAATATCTTATGTCCATTTGTAATGGTTTTAATTATTATGGTCCTGTTTAAATGGGTGGGAGGGTAAGGGTAATATTTTTTTTTTGGTCTTTTGGAACTTACAGTTTAGATTGCTGTGTACATAATTTTAAGTAAACCTGGTGCCTGTTCAAGCCTAAGGGCACTACCATTTTCGATAGTAGCTTGATATACTTAAAGCCAGCCAGAGATGTGCTAAATATTGGCTCTGGCTGACCTCACTGCTTTGATACATCCAATTTCCAGGTGAATGGGTTTTGTGATAGTAAGGTGCCTGCTTACACAGAGTTTCATTATTTTATTATCTCTTTTTGTGATAAGGAGCAATTCTATTGATGTGAAGCACTCATTACTTGTGGCTTGGAATCTCCTACACAGCCCGATACCCTCCTAATTGCTGCAAGCATTGTGGAAATTGGATGTATCTTTTGCAAAAGTTAGTCCCTGTATGGTCACACTTAGTGCAGATGGATGATGACATGGCTGAGGCCATGGGGAAATTGTGTTTTGCTTGAATATTAAGTTAAAAAAAGATTAATCCAATATTTATAGTATTTGTTACTCATGCCAAAAGACTGTGTTTTGTCTGGAAAGCAATGGTTTGGGATATCTGGTAGGTAGGGCATAGTTCAACCAGAGACGACTTTGGTTAAAAACGTAGCCAAAGCCTAACAAAGTCACAGTCCGTCTTTTTAGTTAATGGCAACTATGCACTTAGTGATCATTACATCCATCAATAAATAAGGCCCACGTTTCCCAGTGAACTAAAAACATTTCACTGGCTTTAACCAGCATAATTTGGACACGAATTAACAGGAATTTTTTAGATTGCTGAGGAAGTGTACGAAATGATAATTGTGCCTTATGTTTTTTTACAACCCATTTGAGTCCCGGCTGAGCTTTTCAAATTTATCCCCAAGGAAAAAATTTTATACTGTGCATTATATGTTTTCTAATAGTAAATTATTGTACAATGCACTAGTCTTACAGATTTGTCTGACCCTCAATGTCTCCATCATTTTGTGCTAATGTTGGGTTTTTCAAGGGGTTCACGTGAAGCACTTAAATCCATGGACTGTAAGCAGAAGTCTTGTACAAATCAAGATGTGTTATATATTCTTGCAGGTCAACAAACCCTTATAGGTCAAATTGGATTGGGTCTATTAAGCCTCATCTGACTATGGGCATAGAGCCTCTATAATATGCTACTATGTCTTGGAGTTACTTGCTGCATCAGCTTAACAATGCATTAAATGGAAAAATCCATGAAGAAGTTTGTGCCAGTGCCACTTTGCTGTTTCTGTATGTGCCTTATCATGTGAAGCAATAAAGTGGAGGACATCTTGTCTTGCTTTGTGTGGATGGATTGGAAGGAATATAATCTTGCTGGAAGAGAAGAAACCAGCAAATAATGAACAGAGCGTTATCTGCACAGAAATACTACTTACGGAATTGGTAGCTACTCAGTCGGGTTGATTTACTAAAACTGGAGAGTGTAAAATCTGGTGCAGAAACCAATCAGCTTCCAGTTTTTTTTTTTTGTCAAAGCTTAATTGAACAAGCTGAAATTAGAAGCCGATTGGTTACAATGCATAGCTGCACCAGATTTTGCACTTTCCAGTTTTAGTGAATCAAGTTATCAAGCTATGCTGGCACACTGACCGGCATTTGAGCTGATGAGAATTAGGTGTTGTACCTGAATATACTTCATATTAGCCATCTGGCATCTGCTACATTGGTGGAGCAGTGCTAGGAGCCAACAACGTGAAGTTGCACACACGTGGGGTCACCAGAAAAACATGGCGAGTGGTGGAGAGAAAAAGAGTGAGCAGAGCTACTGCCTTACCAACGAGTTGCTGCGTCTTCATTGCCCAATGAACAAGCTGCAGGTGGGGAGATGGCAACACTGTGTCCCTTAATTTGTATCAATAGCCAATTTTTTTTAGCTTTGGCTAGAGTGCAGAAGAGTTAGCATCATTGCCAAGTTTTATTTCTGTTTGGGGAACTGTTAGAGAGATTTGCCTGCATTTCCTGTCCTGGGGACAATGTTTTACCAGCCAGGAAGTAAGGAAAAATCTTCAACAGTTTTTTTCTATGTTGCTGTCTAATGAAAACATTGTCCCTGGGACAGGAAGTGAGGAGAAATCTCTGAGCCCAGGAAAGCGGTATAACTCCCACAGGAGTTCAAATTCTTTTCCAAGCAAAAAAAAAAAGAGAAAAAAATATATAAATATATACACATATATATAAATGACTGAGGTGCCAGTACTGCAACATGCTTATGACTGCTTCATTACACAGAGAGCTTAAAGCAGTATTAAACCCAAAAATACTAATTTACTATATTGCAGCTTACCAATCCTTAAAGTGTTACTAAACCCATAACAGTAAAATCAGTCTGTATATGCAGTAAAGCATTTTTCTTATACTCACTGGGTAAATCCTCCGCATTGTGTAAAAATCCTGTCCTATGCTCCTCTGAATAATACAGAGTCCTAGGAGGTACTTTGCACATGCTCTGTTTGGGGTGAATTGCTAAAGAGTTTTTTTTTTTTTTTTTTTTTATGGGGGGGGTGCATGTGATCGACACAGGGACAATCAGCACTGTCCAGAGAGTCAGGGGTCGTGCAGCCTCATAGGACAGTCAGAGGGGAATGAAAATTCCTCCTACAAGCTTTAGACAGTGCTTGGCCGGACACTGATTGAAGTCACTAGACTGCTATGTACTGCTGATGAGAAAAGGTATTTAAAAGCTTATATTTGTTTAAATAATTGCATTTCCATGTTCTGTGTACTGTGGGAGACTGGATATAATGAATGCAGGGTCCTGGGTTTAGTAACACTTTAAATGTGAAGGCTACATTAGTTTTAATTTTTAAGTGTTGTTTCCTTTTTTTCACCTGGTGATTTGGGCATTGACACATGGCCTGTCTCCACTCTGGATGGAGGAGCACAGGCGCACTTTTGGACAGCAGAATTGTCAGTGTGGGGAGAGGGTAGTATTAGATTAGCAGATTTAGATGGACCTGACTGACAAATTGAAGCTGAACTCCAGTTGTAAACAGTTACAACCAGGGGTGGACTGACCATTCGAGCACTCGGCACTGCCTGAGGGCCCGGTGTCAGTAGGGGGCCCCATGAGATGCCCCTGGTACCTTTCATAGGCTTTTTTGGGTGTGGTTTGAGTGAGGACACAGGGGCCCCATGATCCCCTATTGCCCGGGGGCCCCATGAGTTGTCAGTCCGCCCCTGGTTACAACATACAATTTTTTTTTTTACTTTTGGGATAAAAGTTTTATATAAAATAAATAAAAGCTGACCACTGGAAGCACCCCTGACAGTGTTAAATGGTTTGTGTGAACCCTCTAATTGACACTTTTTTTTCTGGACAGTTCGGTCTGTTAAGGGAAGTTGAAAAATAACAGACTTCCTGTTAAAGCTGATCTCTAGGTACAGAGAAATTCATTTAAATGCATTCCTAATAGTCACAAAGATATATATCCACCTTGTGTGCACCAAATACCATTATTAACACAAACAATACCTTGTTAAATACCAGTAATATCATCACTATGCTGTACATAGCCTGTGCAGAGCGTAGAGTTGTGGGAGGGACCTAGCAGACCCCACCCACTACCCCTGTAGGAGGGGGTGGAGACAAGACCAGTCACCCTGCACAAGGAGAGAGAGCAACAATGACCAGTCTGTATAACAGTGCGTTCCAGCGCAGAGGCAAAGAATCACACTGGTTTATGGCACAGATCTGGAAGAAATACACAAAGCACATCATATTTCTATATTTGTTTATCTCACAGCTTTGAATTAGGAGCCTCTACATATCTGCATATGTATTACAGGAACAGAAACACTGTCCAGTAAGCTTGTAAACAAGTGAAAGTCATATCACTGCAAACATTACAATAAGTCACAATGTGCTTACCATGAACATAAAGCCAATCTTCAAGGGTCTTTTTACAGAAAACAAGTGTGGGTTGGGTGTTTGTTCTTTGATGCTGGTTACTTTCCCAATGATTGCAATCACTGTTGTAACAGTTCAAACGTGCTTGGCAACACTGCTAACATATACATCTTGAACTTCTGTATCAAGGTCAGCCACTGCGATGCCAGTTCCTTCACCTTTAAACCTTGACGATGCCATTAAAATGCCAACAGTCAATAGTGTTTGTAACCTTTGTGAAGAAATTATTTTTAGTTTCTATTAACCTGAGAAGAGCCTTCAAGTGGATGTGAGCCTTGCTGATAGATGATTGCTAGTAGATTACAGTATATTGGCATTTAGAAACAATACAAGAGTGCTGCCTATCTCCATCATTGTACAAATAAATGAATGCCTGCGAATGATATTGGCCATCTAATCATTTAATAAACAAGCTTCTGCCACTTTCACTATTGCTTGTGCCAATATACTGTAGACCAGGGTTTCTCAACCAGGGTTCCCCTAGAGCAGTGGTTCTCAACCTTCCTAATGCCGTGACCCTTTAATACAGTTCCTCATGTTGTGGTGACCCCCAACCATAAAATTATTTACCCAGTAATTATAATTCATGAGTGTCGTTTTACCTCCAATACTGCTGCTTTCAACACAGTAGCTGCTTTTAACAGAGTAGCTGCTTTCAACACAGCAGCTGCTTTCTACACAGTAGCTGCTCTTTACACATCGGAAATATGTGTTTTCTGATGGTCTTAGGGGACCCCTGTGAAAGGGTCGTTCGAGGTTGAGAACCACTGCTCTAGAGGTAGCTAGGGATTCCATGAGCAGTGGGCAATTTCTGCCTCTCAGATAAGTTGCCACTGACACCATTGATATTTTTAGTTATCTGTAATCTTCCCAATGACCACAAGTGTAAGGGTCATTCTTCCCACTTACCATCACACTAATGTATCATGAGTTGTAGATATGGTCATTTTTAGCGGGAGTTCCCTGAAACTGGAAAGTTATTTCAAGGGTTCCTCTGTGTTGCAAATGTTGAGAAAGGCTGCTGTAGACCTTTTGGTAGGTTTTGACAGCTCATCTTCTGTCTTGCTAATCATTGTTACCAGGACATAGAGTAAAGCTGGGTAAACACTGGCAGATTTTAATTAATTTTTTGAATGTTTGTTTGATTTACCACAAAACATAATCCCAATTTTATTTCAGAAAAGGTGCAATTCTTTTGGTAAACGAATATTTACTATTTATGGAATCACCTTGGTGCTATCAGACACATGTGGGAGGACTGAAACTCTCCAAAACTGTCAATGCAGGGGTGCCACAGGATCAGCACACCTGTAGGCAGGGGTTAAACCTCTGCATAGTCCCACCTAGGGGTTGTTGGTGGTCATCCTGTTGTCTATATATTGTCTACTTCGGGTGGATACTACTGAGACATGTGGGAGGAGTTGGTCTCAGATGTACCAAAAGAGGGCTGAGGAGAAACCCTTCCGGGCATGGGTGTAGTATCTGGGGGTCACAATTGTGACCCTGCTCATGCTCCAGGGGGGCCTGTGCTGTTTCCCTTTCTCTCTCACAAGCAAAGCGGAACCCAAAGCAAAGTGGAAGCTCTGAGCTTTTGGCTCCATTTTCTAGTCCTGAGCCAGAGAGTAGCGGAGGAAGAATGTGGTAAGGCCAGCCCTGCTGGACGGGAAAGTTTCAGTACTGACAAGAAGGGGATGGACACTGAGCTGTCACGGGGCTGAGCGAGGGAGGAGAGCACCATCCATGAACTTGTGCTGCTGTCAATGGGGAGGTACAGAGATACTGGTCAGACCCGTGCAAAGAACAGAAACACACTGTCCCACCCCTCCCCACAACTCCTGCTGAAGCTCACATAAAAATTCTCATAAAATCCCATAACACCTCCTGAGGGACTGTGGGCTCCAGGGGCTGCAGATTTTACTGTGACAGTTTGAGCAGGACGAGCGGGGGGGAGGGGGAGCTGGATAGAAAATCTGTCATTGTCAGCATGGGGGGGGGGGGGGAGAATAATGTGAAATTATCAGGATGGGGGGGAGGGGGAATCAATAATTCCCTGGGGGGCCATCTGTCGTTACTAGGAGGGGGGCACCTGAAGGTGGGGGTCATCTGTCATTACCTGGTGGGGAAGGGGGTCATCTGTCATTATCTGGTGGGGGAGGGGGGTCATCTGTCATTACCTGGTGGGAGAGGGGGGTCATCTCTCATTATCTGGTGGGGGAGGGGGGTCAGCTGTCATTACCTGGTGGGGGGTCATGTTATTACCTGGTGGAGGAGGGGGGGTCATCTGTCATTACCTGGTAGGGGTCATCTGTTATTACCTGGTGGGGGAGAGGAGGGTCATCTGTCATTACGTGGTGGGGGCGGAGGGTAATCTGCTATTACCTGGGGGGTCTTTATCTGTCATACTTGGTGGGGGGAAGTGGGTCATCTGTCATTACCTGGTGGGGGGAGGGGGGATCATCTTGAAGGAGAGGTCACTTGTTAATACCAAGAGGAAGCAGGAGGGCATGTGTTATAAACTGGAGGGGGGGATTACTTTTCCCTAATATATCCTGCACCTCCATATCACTGCAGCCTTGCCATGCGAGAGGTAACTGGGTGCTGTTTAATAATGTATAGAAGAAAGATGTTGAAAAAAAAAAAAAAAATCAGCCCTCCACCCAGCCCAGTACCTCCTTCCGCCCCTGCTCAGCCCCTGAATGTGCACACAAGGTGGGGACAGGCAGACCACACTGCGAGCTGCTGGGTGAAAGTGGTGGGCTTGTATGTGGATCTGGAAGTCAGAGGGCCTGCTGAGTTTCTTCTTTTACCTACAAACCTACTGCTTTCACTGGACAGCTCAGAGTGTGGCCTGCCTACCCCCACCTTGCCTGCACATGCAGATGGCAGCAGGAGAGAGAGACCGTCACCATACAGCTATCAATCTTGCATGTGGTGGGAGCATCTTGGCACACGGTGGAAGGTAGTGGAGGGCCCTAGGTCAACTTTTGCATCATTGCCCACAAGCTTCAAGCTACGCCTCTGCTTTCGGGGTAGGCGTTGGGGTACTCCTGTTTGAAAAGACCCAAATACAGGATGGTAGTTGAAGATATGTGGTTCCTGGAATGAATATGCAAAAGCCCTGGTTCTTGAGGTTGTGAGATATCTTGGAGAGGAGGCAAGGAAGCTTGGCATGGTGCTGTTTTATTGTGCAACTCATTGTGGTTCAAGAAAACTACATGAAAAGCAACTGGTGTGGAATCTCCACATAAGATATGTGGTTCCTGGAATGAATATGCAAAAGCCCTGGTTCTTGAGGTTGTGAGATATATTGGAGAGGAGAGAAGGAAGGTTGACAAGGTGCTGTTTTATGGAGCAACTCATTATGGTTCAAGTAAACTACATGGAAAGCAACTGGTGTGGAATCTCCTTTATTACAAAATATCCTTGGGTATATGGAGTGTGGGCCGTAGTCCAGATGAACAAGAGCAGCCAAGATGGTGAATGGCTTTGGACAGCAGGTATGTGCATACCCCATCCAAGTCCTGTGGCAAGGATAACAGGGGATGTACCCTTTGCCAGGCTGGTGGGAAGCAGAAGTGAATCTGGGCTGCTTGCACACTTCCCACTGACTTTGAACTAAACCATAACAGGTAATTAAAGATTGGTTTTCCTCTACCAAATGAGATCTAATTTTGGTAGGTAGCATCTGACCGGCACTTTAATGTATAGTTCAAAAAGGTGTACAAACACCTATGCCGTGTGAGGGTCTGTTATACAGCCATTCAATGTATTTTAAAATCAGGTGAGCCTCCACACTTTATGAATAAAAGCTTGTAAACAATTCACCATCAAACTTACTATATGACCAAAATTATGTGGACACCTCTCCAAATTATTGTATTTAGGTGTTCTTAGTGAAGAGTACTGTTAATAATACAGCTTACAAAGCCATTTCAGACAACTGTGTGCTTACAACCTTGTACCAACTATTTGGGAAAGGTCCTTTTCTGTTCCAGCAAAATGGTGAATGGCTTTGTACAGCAGGAATGTTCATATTCTACCCAAGTCCTGTGGCAAGGAGAACAGTGGAGGTACCCTTTGCCAGACTGGCCAGAAGCAGAAGTGAATCTGGGCTGCTTGCACACCTCCCCACTGACTTTACATCAAACCATCACAGGCAATCACAGACTGGTTTTCCTCTACCAAATGAGACCTAATCTTTGATTGTATTGTATATTATTGTATATATTATATTGTATAAGGAATAGTTCTGTCTACATTCCTGAGGGATCATATA